TCTTTTGGTCACGTGTAATGCGAAAGGGCTTGAGACAGGGTATAAAGTACTGATTTTCCGGCATGCGCTATTCATATGTTAGCCCTAGTGAGGTCTGTCGTATGACAAGATAAAGGACCAAAAGCTTACTGCACTCTTGTGACATCGCTGCTGGGAAGAACAAGCTTTTGTAGCCATGGAGACAAATACGCGTCTTCTATTATATTCTAAGTATGTCCAACCTGGTGTCCTACTACGTCCTCATGGACGTAGAGGTAAGCTTCAAAAGTGGTTTTAATAACAAAAGCCTTTTTTATTTTTGTCCTAATAGCTAGGACAAAATCCGGGTTTATATTAAGCTTGATATCGTAAGTGCGAGTGGTACTGTAGTTGCTTTGTTATAAAGGTCATCAAGCAATTTCGGCCCCGAGAATCCTCTCATACAAATCGGAAGTCCTTTTTATCCTACCGCGGGCGCTAGGATATAGTGCTGCCGCCGAAGTGAAGTTTCACGAGACTCCTTCAAGCTGGCAATGAGAGAAAGAATGCAATGAAATTGGCTAGGCTGTTTAACCCTTCTAGCCCGAGCTTTTATTCTGTATCCTACAGAGTAAGGATTTATACTTGAATTAATTATACAGTCGAAACCTCCCAAAATAATCCTGCTGCAACCCCCTTCGCTCCTACTGACCAAGAACCGGACACATTTAGCACAAAGACATTGCGCCACGGAACATAATGTCCACAGTGTGACAGCATCTGCGAGGATCGCGAGCTTCTATTGGTTCACGGCAGTACAAAGAACGGCAAATACCTGCGTCCCATCAATACCTGGCATTTTCGTTACTGCTCCTGGACACACTCAAGAGTCCGTCAACAGCCATCCATTCTCGGCGCCAACCGAATACGAAGTGCGCGCAGAGAAAGAATTTGCCCAGTTCCTAACTAACGGATTAGTGAGGAGGAACAGGGCAAACTCTTCTCTGCGCGTAAGATCAGGTCAATTTGCTTGTTTTTACAACTACCCATTTCTAAGCTTACTCTTCTTCCTCGTCGCTCCCTCTCCTACGCTTACGAAATCGTATCTTCTTCTTCAGGCTAGGTGAAATGCTCTTCCCTTCGCTTCACGTGTCATGCCAAATTTGCGAGCATATCAGCGTGTTTCCGCTGTCGACGTGTCTAACGTGTCGGCATAGAGGTACTCGACCTCCAAACACCTCGCTAAACTGCGAGCAGTAAAAGCTAGTCTCGAATGACTTGGTGTTTGAGTTCGCAAAAGCGGAGCAAACTTTGCAAAGGCGCTGCCTGCGTTTGTGCCGCTAGGAATAGAAGACGTCGTTATTCACTAATGTGTGCTGCTGGCGTTGTATAGGTACGGACACCAGGTCCTCAGCGTTGGGATGAGTCTCGAAACTAATTGTTTGCAGTGCAAGAATCTGCGTGTGCAAACGGCGCAAGTACTCGGCATGGGTAGGTGTTCTTTCTCCTTTTGTCTTAGGTGTCAAAAAGTAAATGATGTATCCATTGACCACGGCCATGTCGATAATGCACAGGAACAACCGATTGTAGTATTTTCAGAGCAAAACACACTTCTGAATACTGCTGTGCTGGAGCCGCAGCTGGTCGTGGACGTCCACACCACCCATGCCGCGGGTGTAGTCCACAATCAGCTGTGGGCAGGGCACCGTGCTTGTGTGCCATCTTTTCCCAATCGCAAAATGCTGGCAGGATGTATGCTGCAGCCTGAAGCGAGCATATTTACCGGCTTTGAGTCCATCCAGCTCAATGCCAGAGGGCCCGTTGTAGTAGTCGGTAGCGGCATCAACTCTAAGGTTTCCTACAAATACATCGTCAAACCACCATCCAGAACAAGTATGATTGACACACAAACAATTCTGTATAATACGGCGCTATGCTCTTCATCATACGTAACCCATATATTCTCCGATCATCGCTTGTCAGATCCAAAAGTCCCTCGTCGGAAATGTCATCATTCAATGGCATGTCTTCAACGTCATCTACACCTTCTACGCCAGAAACCACAGTAATGTCTTCAATTACGTCTTCATCATCCGCATCGGAGTCCACATCGCTAGTACCCCCACTAGCAACCACGCTCACATCGTCTGGATCGGTTGTTTGAACAACCGATCTCTCCGGAGTCCCTTCATGAAGTCGTTGCTATCAAACACCTCAAAACCAACTCGATAATCAGAAGGGTCGTCAATCTCACTCTTAGCTTCTTCAGCATCTGTCGTATTCTCTCGGGGCTCCGAATCTGTATCATCCGGAGCAGCAGCGCTCTCCACCCCATTTTGCTCTGTATCATCCTGAGCGCCAACCACCGAAGATTTCGGTACCTCTGGTCTGGAAGCCAGCTGTGATAAAGGAACAGTTGGGGGAGAGCGAATACACATGAAGCGTGTGTACCTTCAACTCCATCTGCTCTCGCATTTCCAGGAGAGGCTGCAGGGGGTGGGTAGTCGTAGGTGTCGCAGAAGGTGGCTTGGACTGCGCAGCCTCTGGTAAATCGCTGTATGGTATCTGCTGACCAATAGCTTCGTTTGAAGCCTGCTTTTCGATCGGACGGCGTGTAGATGCAATGCTCACACTTGAATGGGGAAGCTGGAGGCAGCCGGATGCACGCCCAAATGTCATGAGTTCATCTTCACCTAGACATTACGTATCCTGTTAGTACGTAGCACCATATATCAAGGTCTAATTACGCACCCTAAAAAAGTCGATGCTGCGTCGTGACTCGTCCAACCGATCCGTGATTCCAGGCTTACGTAGCGGTGATGCTTGGCCATGGGCGTGGGCTTGCGAGTCTTTCACCCGTCCTCGCATAATTCTCTCCACAGCGGCTTGAACGTCTTCTCGCCGGGGGTGTTCATCGTTCGAAGAAAGATTTCAATGTGCGGCGATGAGGGAGTGGCTGACACGCGGTCGTTTTGGGCTTTCACTCAAATTTTCAAAACTCCTTTGAATTTATATTGTTTTTTCCATTCACGTAGAACAATCCCCGTCTATCTTCCCTTCTAGGAATGATGTGCAAACTCCCCCTTTACAAAACATCATATGCGAATTCATAGTCTGCAGCCAAGTTAGCTGGATACTAAATCCTGCAAAATCTTTTATTCTGTAGGATACGGAATACCGGGTTAGAAGGGTTAACAAGCTAAAGCTGTCATCCCACGGAGTCATCATATGGCAACTTATCAAGTGCTGAATAAACTTGAGTGCGCACCTAAAACAATTCGTTTTTTTACTTGTAAATGTCAGTTGCAGACTGATATGCATCAAGTAAATCTGGGGCTAAAAGTTCTTTCATTAGCAGCTGACTGCATCCAGACGGCTACTGCTGAACTATCACAGCTAGCGTGTATACTGGGTGCTGGAAGCGAATGCAGAGTTGATGGTGACATCTTCACCAATAATAAAATGTTGGACGCGTCCGCGCTCGACGAGCTGTTACTTATCTTAGCTTGCTTTTTAAAACAAGCCTCTATTGATACCACGGGATGTTGATACAGCTACATTACAATTGAACGCCGTGTGCATTACGGCCGTCAGTTTGAAAGCTAAGCCAGCGAAGGTCCAAGTACTTCGAGTCGAAAAATAAACTTCATTTCCTCTTGTGTTAGTAACTTTCTCAAGCCATACCGTAGCCTTTGGTGTTTTAAGGAAGTACTTTTCAAGTCAAAAATCAAAAACTGCAATTCAGCTCGGTCAGATCTACCGAAAGCCTGAATCATCGTCACGCGCATACAAGAGAGAAGCAGAAATGACAGTAGGACCTTTCGCACCCCCACCACAGCAAAATCTATGCTACATGCGTTTTAATTTCTAGACTTTTTATTGCTTTAAAAATGGCAAACCACGCAAAAAGGTATGCATGGAAGATTGTTTCAATTACTCTACACGAGTTTCTACGCAACAGGACCAAATCTATTCCAAACCGTTAGCGAAGGACATGAAGTCGCGGATTATATGCTACAAGGCTCCTTTAGTGAAAACACGCCTTAAAAGTCGAAGAGGAGGTCATATTTCATCATGTAAGAGGTTTGGCTGGTCAGTTTTCGGATAAGTTTCTCATGACACTTGTATGTGGTTGAGCGCCGTCAATAATAACCACCACATTGCTATGAGTTGTAGGCGCTAAACTCGTCCGAAGCCGTTTTGTCGTTATTTCCGGCGTTTTCAACCGTCTAAACCGACTATTGGTCCTCTTGTTCGGGCAAGGGGCTCTGATGTTGGAAGGCTCAGCGCCAATGAGTCCAGATCCTCGCAGTATCGCAGCTTCCGTCCCATATGGACAGCCAGGCGCGTTAGTATGTATGGCCGGAGCCGTCCAACGAACAACGTCAACGGCACCACCAACGCTGTCGCCGGCTGCAATGCTGATCCTAGGCAGCCTGAGTTGAGCAAGATATCGTCCACTCGTACGCACGAGTTCTGGTCGGCTTACAATGCTCTAGTGTGCACACGTCACAGTCAATTGGAAAGATTGGTGTGTTCCACACAACGTCAATGAAGAGACACAATGCACTTCAAGTCAGGGGCATAGTGAACGCAAATTTATTCTGCGATGACCATCACTCCTTTGTCGTACCGTAAAATAGGTCAGCTCGAAAAGACAGAAAGAAGAAAAACGGAAAGCCATTCGACCGCACTCGAAGACCGCTTCAGTGTGGGATTTGCTATTCTAAGCCAACCAAGCGCGCGGTCAAGTGCGCACTCGTCCGGCTCGAAAGGGAAACCTTCGTGACCTTCACTCCTGCATTCCGCATTCGTGCGCCCGCAGTAAGAAACGACCGCCGCACTCCTCGAGGTGACAGCAAGTGCGCTCAAGCAGGAAAACGGCCCGGAAACTCCTCACCAGGGCTGGACAAGACGACACGAGGCCTGGGATCTGCTGGCTCGGCATTCTACGAATCGAGCGAGAGCTGCGTAGACTTGACCCGACACCCGAATCACTGGGTTGTACCTACTAAATACACAGATCTACAGATCAGAGAAAGATGGCCGTGACTCCCATGACTACGTCGTCCACGACCAAGAAAGAAGACCGAGCTAAGGAGACTGCGAGTAGTTGCTCCACCGCCGGCAGTCGGCTCGAAGTGCGATCCTGGGAAAAGCTACACCCGCATGGAGACGTGTACAGTCCACGCACAGGCCACACAGTCACCAGCAAAGGTATACAACATCTATATGAGAGCTAATGTAGAAGACGAAAGGCTAACTTGGGTCCATGCGTGATGCAGATGGCCGAGTGTATGTCTTCGGCGGCACAGATCGTAGAAGACGTCAACAGGATCTGTACCAGCTGGATCTCGAGACGAGCTCGTGGTCGCAGGTGCAGACGCACGGTGCTCTCCCGCCGAGGCGCTCAGGGGCGCTAGGAGTTGTCCACGAAAGCGACATGTTCATCTTCGGAGGCTACGACGGTCGTGATGGCAACTACTTCAACGATCTGTACTACTTCAACTTCGACGAACAGAGGTGGAGCCAGATGCCCAGCGTCGTGGAGGACCGACCGGAAGCTCGCACTGACCACATCATGGTGCTGCACTCGTCCAGTATTTATATTTTCGGAGGCTACAACGGCTCGAGTCGTTTCAACGACCTCTGTGGCTACGACATTCAGGCACAACGCTGGAGCCGATTGCAGGCCCAGGGCGCCGTCCCGTCCAGACGCTTTGGCCACAGTGGTGTCGTGCACACAGAGACCAACCGGTTGATCGTTTTTGGAGGGTGGGATGGACGCGACACACTGAACGACCTGTACGAGTACAGCTTTGTCACGAACGAGTGGAGGAAGCTGGAGACGACTGGCAGTAGCCCACCGCACAGATACCGTCATACAGCCGTGATTTTCGGCGACAACATGTTTGTCTTTGGGGGTGTGGACAAGACACACAGCCGCTTTAACGACCTGCAACGCCTCGACTTGGTGACCAACACGTGGAGTGAAGTTTGTACGACTGGAAGCATCCCAAGTAGTCGAACGTTCCACCGAGCTGTGGTCGTGGATAGCAAAATGTACTTGTTAGGAGGATACGACGGCACGGACAGACTGCAGGATTTGTACTCGATTGATATTGGAGCACTCACACCTCCGTCACTCTTGGATATCTGCGCCGACTACGTCCGAACGAATCTTGACGCTGTGTTGGAGACAACGACTTTCAAGGGGGTCCCGATGGACATCATTGACCACGTAATTTTCAAGCGCGATCTTGAAGGACGACTGCGAGGAAAGTGCAAGCTCTGCCGACCAGGAAGATGTTGTGTGTATCGAATGCAGAAGATGGAGGCTTGTCCACAGGACAAACAGGATCCACACTTTGGCTGTGTGTGCGGACACTCTACATTCCACCACGAAGTGATAGAGGAATCAAGTAAGTGTCAGCGGGTTTCTTCGGGCTTGACGTGGAATGCTTACGTGCTTTCTCTTTTGTTTTTTTTCGACAGAACTTTACGGCAAGAAGCCGGCTGGATCAACATCAACAAAAGGTAATACTGTCCATTTTGTCAGAACAAGAGGCCAAATCGGAATGGTGACGCTCTGTTCTCGTGTGTTCGATTACAGTTCTTATGCTCTGCGGCTCCATTTACAAGCGCCTATTCGACTCAACTTCGTCCACGGCGTCAACTTCATCGCTTCTTTCATCTCCTCGCAGTCGCTACTCTGACGAAGGTTCAAACAATGAGAAAGAATGCTTAGCATAGATATCAAGACAACAACGGACGGGCTCCCTGTACGCGTCGGGACGCATGGGGAGCTCCGCTTGATCGACTACAGATCGTATCCTGGATCCACTAACTATTATTTCAAGTGCTGCATTAGTCACTTCACCTACAAGCTCTTGTCTGTTGCAGAGTCATCAATCTCTCTTATCCTCGAGTCGATACTTGGTTCTGGATAAAGTGGCGTACTTCGTCAATACCTGCAGTAGCAATCGACAGCCTGAAGTGAATGGGATCCGACCATGTGAGCACCATGAGACCCTTGGCGTAGTCCCGAACACTCTCGTAGTCTTCCTTGGTGTTGAAACCGTCGAATAGAATTCCCTCCAGAAACTGTACGCGATTCCTCTCGCGTTCCCACAAGTAGATCTGGTCAGCAATATTCTCAGGGATCACTGGACTGTTGCGTCGCATTTTCGGGTGCGCGTGCTTCATCAAGAAGTCGTAGATCTGCTGGGCCGAGATGCCGTGAATCAGAGCAGAGCGCAGACTCTCTCGAGTGATGAAGCCAATGGCCAAGTTCGGTAGTCGTGCCACAATGTCCACAAACACGCTGAGCATAGCCACATGAAGAGTCGACGAAGTGTACGCGTAGATCTTGAAGTTTGTCTCCACCACCACAAGCAGACGAGCTCCGTGATCGACTGTCGGGGCCTGACGCGGATCTGCCACTTGCGACTTCATACCGGCACGAACACCAGCAAACGAGCTCGTGAGACTGACATGGCTACGCTTCTGTCCCGTGGACCCACCGAAAATGAGGTTCACAGCCAGACTTGTTGTGTAGAAGCGATCCGAATTTTGGCGTTTTCGGAACAGTAGTCCGAAGTCAATGAAATCTCCGAGTAATAGTCGCTGGGTCTCCGTCAGATCTGCTACTGCGTAGTACCCTCCCGTCTGGCAGTAGCTGATCTGGAACAAGAACTGCAGAATATCCTCCTGCTTCAGGGTGCCCGTGTTATCCAGCGTGCGAATGTATTCCAACATAAAGATCCACATCTGCACGTGGATGTCCTTCAGCATGAACTCGTAGCCCGTGTCTGTGATATGCAGCGCCCTGGAGTCCGCCCCACTTGCCTGCAGTAGTTTTGTACGCAGTAGGATGTCCACCACGGACTGTGGCGGCTCCTGTACTGCTGTAGACCCCACCATGTAGTGCAGCACCAAGTCCCAGCGTGCCCTCGCGTACCGCTCAAGATCCACCGCAGCGAAAGTGTTCTCCGGGTCCCTAGGAAGATGTAGTCGCCCACGTTCCCACGGAGATCCGCCCAAGTTGCTCAGCGCATACTGCCCAGTATCGTGTTAGTATTAGTCGCCTGCATTTGTCATTTTAAGGCTATTTTTCCTCACCATGAGCTGCTTCTGGAACGTCGGGTGAGGTTTGTAGCCTCCATCTTGCTGTACAAACACTCGAAGTCCCTCCAGCTTCTGCAACGCGGCGTTGAATTGAGGCGGCATGCGTTTGGTTTCTCCTGGTATTGGCACAACCCATTGCTCCAGTAGATCACGCGGTACGGCAGAGTTTGTGGGCAGAAGACGCATCACGAACTGCTGAGCAAGAGATGGTAGAGCCTGGAAGATAGCCTGGCACGCCCATGGATCCTGGTACAGACGCTCCAGCGTTGCCGGCGGCAGCGTCTCGAGGAAGTCGAAGGCATCCATATCGTGGTGGGAAATTCGTGACTTGGTGTTCAAAACACAAAATTGATATATTTTTTAAGAACCGATTAGTTTTTTAAGGGCCGTTCTTTGCCGATTTCTTGCAAATGGTACTTTTTGTGCTTGATTCGGCTAAGAACAAACTTTAAACTAGTGGATGGCCTTAGTGGCTAAGGTTGAAGGAGGGGTGGTTGACATCTAATGTTAGCTTATAACTGCGATGTATCACTTTGATTGATTTGCATTTGTTCTCTTCCACTATCGCAACGAAATGCGCACACCCAGCGAGATCATAGCGATCACTCGTCGTCTTCGCGATCGAGCCAACGTCCAAACGATACTGCTGCTGTTCGTTCTATTGCAAGCACGAACACGGAGCTCGCGCTACTCGCGTCATCGCATCGATGTTGATCTCGAAATTGAGATGCTGTTGAATGAAAACATGTTCGAGCTAACCTTTCGAATGACTCCCGACAGTTTTTGTACCTGTTGGGCCTCTTAACACCAAATATTGAGGCTAATAGACAGCAATCTGCCAACTCGAGCGGGGAAGAACCAATATCGACTCCACTTATGCTCATGACTATACTGCGTTATTTAGCTGGTGGTTCGTATCTTGATATTCGCCGTACTGTGGGAATTAGTGGATCTTCTTACTACCGTGTCATTAACGAGACAATGTTCGCGATTTTCGGTCTACGAGAATTGAAAATCGTATTTCCTGATTCTGAATCGGACAGAGAGGTTGTGATGAACGACTTTGAGGCTATCAGCTCCAGTGGAATAATAAGCGGTTGTGTCGGTTGCGTAGACGGATGGCTATGTGTTATTAAGGCGCCTTCAGCTGAAGACGCTGGAGACGTAAATATTGGACGCTATTATAGCGGACACTATGCATGTCCTGGTATCAATGTGCAGGCCGTGTGCGATGCGCATTGTCGCTTCATATCTGTGGATGCCAGCTATCCAGGAAGTACAAATGATGCACGTGATTTTCGTGGGACTGGTGTGGCGAGAAATATCAGCTCATTTCCTACAGGAATGTATATCATCGGCGACAATGCGTATCCTGTGAGAGAGCATTTGATCACGCCATTTCCACGCAACCAAATTGTTGACGAGTACCACGACTCATTCAATTTCCATGCTAGTCAAATACGAATCAGAATTGAAACGGCTTTTGGTCGTTTGACTACAAAATGGCGGGTATTTCGATCTCCTATCTCACGGAACCTTTCAAATGCTACCACTACAATTTACACAGCTATGGTGCTGCATAACTACGTGATTAACAGACGTATAATATCTGATGCCGACTATTGTTTATTTGACGAGTCGATTCGACCCATTCGCGTCTCGCAAAGAGTGCAAATATTAAATGACGTTGCCAATCTCATGGGTTACATGTCAAGTGATCCTGTTGTTGAAGAGGGTAACAGCTACATGAGAGACTATATTGCTCAGCACCTTCGCGCTAATAACACTGTTCGGCCTCAGTACAGCATTTCACGCAATCGGAGTGTAAACAACTAAATAGAAATACTGATCGTGACACACTTTATTTGTTATTTTCTTATGAGGGCCCTCTTTTTGCACGAACGTGTTCAATGTCTTCATTTACCTCCATTAGGTCGTCATGAGTATATATTCCCTCTGGAGCACGAAGAATCCGCTCTCTAAGCTCCATGAGCGAATTCAAAGAGCTCATCAGCTGTGCCAGGCGACAGTCTAGCTCAAGCGCCTGAGCTGAGGCGTTATTGGCTTGCACTGTCGTAAGAATATCGCTCAAATTGATCTCTTTCACTTTTGACTTCCCTTTCTTCGAACGAGTACGTTGTTTTTTTTTATTGACGAGATCCTCCAACCTCGTCGTCGTCGTTGTCACTACCTCCCTCCATGGTATGTAAACGAGCACGTTTTGGCAGTTTCTCTTCTACGGACTCCAACAAACCAGGTTTCGTACGCATCCACTCATGCATGTACAGGACGTCGATTTTTCCGGAGCAGAAAGAAAAGAAATCATTGTCGTGCACGCCTGAAATTTGAGAGCTCGCCACAGCAGTAGCATAACGACCAGTAATATCCTTCCACATATCTCGTAATTTTGCAGCTTCGTGAGGAACGGTGAACTCAGGATTGCATTTTTCGAATACTGCCAGAGGTGAAACAAGCTTGCTGAATTCTGGACGCGAACTCAAGTACGCTGAGTGAAAATCCGTCCAAAATGTGCTTTTTGCTTGAGTCATGTTTGTATCCAGCTCGGCCCTGGCTGCTCTAGCGTCAATTTCATGAAGCCGGTGTGCAAATAGTCCGAAAACATGACATTCAAAAGCCGTAGCATGCAGTGGCGAGTACGACGTTTGCTACCCACTACACCACGTTTAGCCGGACCTTCCTCCACACCTAGACGCTGCATCTCGCTGAACGCGGGCTTCTGTTGCATTAATAACGCAACATATCCTGACTTGTGGTCGTTGGCGTCCGGGCCCCTTTTAACGATACGTAGCTGCCGAAGGTAACACTCTGTGCGAAGTTGTTTAGCTCCAAATGCCATCAGACACGATTCGGCTTCCTCTAGATTCATGGTGCCGTTCTACATGACATTCCCAATAGTCGATGCAGTCGCGGGAATGCCGCCGTCAGATGTAGCGGTAGTTGGAGATGCCGTAAGTGAAGGCAAACGAGGAGACATAACGGAGGAGGAGGACATGGCGATAGATTGATAGGGGACCGTTGGTTGCTGATGTGGACTGAGTGCTTCAGGAGACTTGATGGAATGAGCTGTATAAACTCCAGCCAAAGGTGTCGTTCTATCCCGTCAGGTATGCCTCTCCTCCCGCCCACCTTCCGTCCACGGCCACCAACCCTAATTTCACACAGTGGGCGTGGATCAAACGGACCATACGGCGTCCACAGCCATATGGATTCAAGTGAAATGATTGGGCCATGGAAGCATAATCCACCGTTATTTTTTGGCTAACAACGGCCCTAATAATCGAAATGTAAATCGCTTTGGTTATTCTAAAACTTTAAAACTATTATCAGCCCTAGCCTCCTCCCTGGTCTCTCAGGATTTAAAATATAATTTTGGGTGGTTAGTCTAAAGCCTTAAAACTATTATCTGCCCTAACCTGCTCCCTGGCCTCTTGGGATTCATATTCATATTATGAATCCCAAGAGGCCAGGGAGGAGGTTAGGTCATTTTTATATTATGAATTTCAAGAGGCCAGGGAGGACGTTAGGGCTGATAATAGTTTGAAAGCCTTATACTGTACTAACCACCCAGAACAAAATGATACGTACGAACCTAAGTACAAATCGCAATTTAATCACTCTAAACGAAAGCGGGACGTCTTCCTCTATCGCTTGATCCCTTATAAGCTACAAAATTCTTAAAACTGAAGAAGTTGTGGTCGCTCAAAAATATTATCTTCATTTATGGGCCCTCGAAATGACGATACATTTAGAGTTCATTTTTTTCAATTTTAAAAATGCAAGTGTTGTTTGAAAGCTCTTAAAGCAATTGAATAAGGGTAGTTTTACAGCTTTTTTCAATGGAAATTTACAATAAATGTCACAGTTTCGGTTAAGTGCGAAAGTCGATTGGCTAACTTTATCTCGATAACTTGAAATGGTTCGGAAGTATCATTTTGTTTGATGCAGTCTATTATTATCAAAATAAGCTCTCGCAGTGTGATTCAGCTATTATTCTCTGTTGCTCGAAATACTTCAATCCATCTAATATATAACGTGTTACTTTAATAATGACGTCATTTTACGTGTTTCAGACATGTAGTCGAAATTATTACAAAATATTACTGCGTATACATGTAATTGCGGCTACATGTAGGTGAAGAAGCGTTGAATGACCTAGTTTAGCAAATTATTGCTTATCTATGAGTCCAGGAGAGACTAACATTCCTAAATCCATTTGGACAGTTTCAGAATGATGTGCCAGTGTGCCTCCACGTTAGACCTGGAAACGCACAGCGAGGTACATTTGCACTGCAGCGGGGCTGCCGTAGCTTTAGCGTCAGAGGAAGACGTTCGACTCAAAGAGTCACTAATACTAAGTTCCTTATCCAAAGGACACTTACAGCCCAAGACCAGGGCTCAAAGTTAACACCTTAACTTTTATGCTTCAAAACCAGAAGTGTTTTATTTACTATTATTGCGGCCAAGCCGCCTAGGGGTAAATGTATCTCTTTAACTATCTAGCATAGTTAAACCTAATCAAATGCATAACGTGTGGCTTTCAGCCAACGTACTGAGAGACCTTGTTAACTCTCCAACTTATGTACTGAGAGTTTGTTAACTCTCCGGGTACTTCGTACCCCTGTGTGCTCCACACCATGTAACCCCGTTACACTCTCCCCCACTAAGATGAGAACATTCCGTTCTCGAAACTCTCCTCAGCGAGGTCACGTCTTGTAAAGACGGCGGAGGTTACTACACCTCACACCAGCGTTGTACAGCTCCGTGAGCTCACAAACGCCTACGCATCGTTGATGCCCAACTTCTCGTCGTCGGCCCAATGCTCCAAGCGCAGCGCGCATCTTGCTCTCAAGCGGTCTCAGACCTACGCTCGCGCTCCGCGCCTACTCCAAGAGCTGCAAACCGCTTAGAGCAATGCTCTTGACTCATTCGAGTCGTCGACAACAGCTCAGCGGTTGAACACTCGCTTCACAAGTGATAGGTCCGTGGTTCAAACCCACTAGGGCACAGCCCTCTCGTTCCATGAACGATTGTTCACGCTTGGACAAGCTTAAGGGCAACACCCTTTTAGCTCAATGGTTGAGCGCTGGCTTTGAGAGCCACAGGTCGGTGGTTCGAGCCCACCAGGGCACAGCCCTGTCGTTCCATGAACGATTGTTCACGCTTGGACAAGCTTAAGAGCAATCCGCTTTTAGCTCAGTGGTCGAGCGTTGGCTTTGGAAGCCACAGGTCGGTGGTTCGAACCCGCCAGGGCACAGCCCTCTCGTTCCATGAACTATTGTCCTTGAATGGACAAGCTTAAGGGCAACGCCCTTTCAGCTCAGTGGTCGAGCGCTGGCTTTGAAAGCCACAGGTCGGTGGTTCAAATCCACCCGGGCGCAGCCCTCTCATACCATGAGTAGTCCGTTCTCGGACTGACGTACGGGCATCGCCCTTGTAGCTCAATGGTAGAGCTCCGGCCTGTCAAGCCAAAGGCCAGTGGTTCGATCCCCGTGCGGGACACCACTTTCGCTGTTACAGCGCATCCACATTTGGATCATGCTCATCGAGCAAGTTGTTTCAAAACAACTATGCGTCTATCGAGACGCTTGTGCCTGAACCTTGTTCAGCACAACACGAAGCACCTGCTTCCTTCGGGACCATGTCCCTAACACTACGAGGTCTCTCCACCTCCTGCTCCCGCTGCGAGCACCGCTCATACGTACGAGCTGGCTGCTGCAGCCACTGGTCAGAGCCTGAGCTCAACTACTGACCTCATCGCTCCCCACTCTAGTGGGAGGCGCCCAGCGCCTGGCGACGCTGTCGCACGCCATGGTGGCGCTTCGGCACATGATGTGCCCGGTCGTAAGCGTCAACGACGTCAGGGCAATCTTGCCGGAGGATAACCTCAAACTCCCATGAGTTCTGTGAGTGAGGGTAACCCCTCCACTTCACTAAGTACTGGGTACGACCCTGGCGTCTACGCCACGCCACAAGGCGTTCCACGTGAAAGTGGAGCTCACCATGCTCATCGAGCAGAGCAGGAGGAGGCCTTGCCTCAGCTGGGCTCTCGCGGGGAGAGTCAGCACTTGCCGGAACGGCGTCTGCGTCCATACGACGCCGGCGTCCACGACGCGAACGTTCACCGCCCATCGGTCGATCTCGAAGCGATGATCCACCTTGTGGATAGGTTAGAGCCACCACTGTTGACTCACAACCAGGTCTCGGACCTTGAGCGTCCAGCTGCTCGGCTGAACGTTCAGCTTGCCTTGCTCCTGCATCTCGAGCACTTCGCTCCGCGACCTGTGGCTCTGCCACATGCTGTTGATCAGCCATCTGTGGATCCACCACTTGCTGTCGTTCAGCCTCCCGTGGCTCTACCACCTGCTGCCCTGCAGCTGTCCGTGGCCCAGCCACCGTTGGAGCCAACGCCTCCGCGCTCACCTGAGCAGGGTCTTGGTATGGCTTAAGCAAGCCGACATAGAAGACCGGATGCGTGCGCATCTTCTTCGGAAGGTTGAGCGTATACGCTAGGCCCTTCCTGGCCACGACCTTGAACGGTCCTATGAACCGAGGTCTTAACTTCGTCTTGAAGACTGCAGACACTGCATGAGTAGGTAGGTTTTTAGCGTTTAATAAAACTTGGTCACCGACCTCAAACCTCTCAACATTGCTTCTGCCCTTGGCATCTGCATGTTCCTTCTGCGTGTCTTGGCTTTCAGCCATAGCGTCGCGTACTTGACGCATTACGCTCAGTCTCAAAGAGACAAAGTCATCGACTTGCTTGCGAACCGCAACAGGGCTGACATCAGCTAGCCGCTCGGCTATCCCTCCCCCACCAAGCCCTGAGCCACTGCGTGGCGGCGTCAGTGGGACGCGAGGGTCAACCAAGCCGTTCACATAGAACGGAGTGTAACCTGTCGAGGCGTGCACTGCATTATTTAATGCGAACTCAACGAGTGGGAGCATCTGGCTCCAGCGTTTTGGCGCCTCAGCGCATACGCTTCGGAGGGTATCCTCCACAACGCGATTCACGCGTTCGGTTTGACCATCGGTCTGCGGATGGTCCGCCGTGGACATGTCCAAACGAGTGCCGAGCACTCTGAAGAGGGACGTCCAGAACTTCGCGGTGAAGCGCGGATCTCGATCCGAGACAATTGCCTCAGGCAAGCCATGTTGGCGAAAGACTCGGTCTAAAAACAGCAAAGCTGTACCTTCACCATCAATGGTGTCCGGCACTGCCGCTAAATGAGCCATCTTGCTCAATCGGTCTACAAAGACCACTATACCAGTGTTTCCCGCCTTGTCTCTGGGAAGGCCAAACAAAAAGTCCATACTCATGACTGCCAGCATCCCTTGGGGACAGGCAAACTCGCCAATGGCGCTGCCGTGCTCGGCGCGGACTTTGTCCGTTGACACGTCTCACACGTGCGTACATAGGTGCCGACCCACTTATACATCTTGGGCCACCAGTACATCGAGCTCACCGAGCCATAGGTCTTCTCCCGACCTAAGTGCCCGCCCACGGCGTATCATGAACCTCATAGAGGATTCGATACTTTAGATCCTCATCATGAGGAACGACTACACGAGGGTTATCCTCAGCGTCGGTGCTGTAGTACAGCAGGCCGCCATCGAGTGAGTATCGATGCAGCCTCGCGCGTAAGCGCCCAGACAATTCCTTGTCAGAGTCTTTAAACTCTTCGCTCCCAAGAGCCCGTAGCAGCGCTACGCACATGTCGTCTTGTGCATACGCTCCGCGTATCAAGTCAGGCACTGACGACGTCACTGTCGTGACATGAGCTAACTCGTAGTCCGGCCTGCGCGAGAGCGCATCGGCCACTACATTAAGCCGCCCCG